CGCCAATCCACAGAGAAACAGCTGCCTCCTCTTAGAGTGTCTCCTATATCAATGCTCAGGGACAGAAATCCACTTCCCCTTCTAAGAAGAAGATGAGAAATGGTTGCTGATTTGTGTTTGTTTTTTGAAACAAAAAAAAAACTTATAAGAACTAACAAGTTATTTAATTCACTGAGTACTTAACTGAATGGGGAAACATGGGTTACTACTGACCTGGAAACACCTTGTGATTATGACCTGTAACTTCCTGCCTTTTCTCTCTCTGCCCTCCTTCCTTTTCTTCCTCTCTTAAAGTCCCTAGCTTGCCTGTCTGTTTCTGGATCTCCTCTATTACTCTTGTTCTTTTCCTCATCACACTCAATCTTTAAGTTTCACAAGCAACATCTACCTCTCTTGTGGACCATTATTTGTAGAGTTTTCAAAGGAAAGGCTCTTTTTCCTTGGTTATAAAAGGAATAGCTGTCCTCGAGCTCACATTAACCCCTTAATGGGATGAATATTCTTGAAGCAGGACAGTTCTACCTTACATTTCTTCCCAGGCATGGGCTCATTGTTTTTTACAGCCCCTCCCCAAACCTAAATGTTATACTCAAATTGGAAAGAAAGCTTAGGTATCTATTGTTTAAGTCTGAGAGAATATTTTGGTTTTGAAGATCAGAGATCTGGACAATTTAATTTTGATGGTATAAACCTAAATACTCTCTAAGAGGGTCAATTACAACTAAATTTTTTTCTGTTTTTTTCAGGGTGGTTTTGTATAATTCTTTTTTCCTTGACATCTCAGTGTCCATAGAAGCATTTGTGGCATCTATAGTCTCATAAACACCACAATAAACTCCAAGTGCACCTCAGTTATAGGCCATAATTTGAGCCAAAATGAGGGATGCAACTCACACCATTAAAAAGTATGAGTGTTAATTCACACACATGTGTGTGAGAGTATATGTGTGTATCTACCTATATGCATGCATACATAATGATTTATGGGAATAGTCTCAGTCTAAATCAGCAGGTAGAATCTAACCCACATAATGTAAACTAGTATCAAACATTTGCCTGATGGGTGACCTGACTCCAGAGTTGACCCATAGGATGTCTTGCAAGTAGTTTAAATTGCTACTTGCAATGGTTTACATGCATAAATGGGCTAAATAACCCTAGCATAATCTGGAATGACTTCCAGGGGTAAAGCCAGGCTTTCCCATACATAATGATATCTGGCATTTGTTTGGACGGTAGTGATATTTACTTTGCATATTAGAGAGATCCATGACTATATTTAGGAGTTGCTAATTAAGTCAGGGTTGGACTGAAAACCTCAATAGTGGAAATTAATCTTTAGTTATATTAGACAGTATAAAAGGCCTTGGAGTATGCCAGACAGTTACTTTTTATTAGAAAATATCATCAACATAAACTTGAAAGGAACCTTAATGTAAACAAATAGCATGCAAGATCTTATCATAAGAAAAGAATATTGAACTTTCTCATCAGATATGCTAACCCAGTAATGGGCTATAGTGACACAGTGGTTTCTTGTAGAGACATTATTGACCTGGACTCTGACAGAAGCTTTACCTGCTATTTCATGTGATGAGAACTAATTCCCTAAGTAATTCCCCAAGGATTTCTGCTTCCTGGTAAATGAGGTTAGATTGTAAGTGACAGCGACACTTTATGTTCTCATATCATATAAAATATACTCACTCAAACAGCTTCAATTCCAATCACACACACAAAGCTAAAGTTTTCTAACACAAGTCCTAGAAGGTCATAGCCCCTTGAATGAGAATCATTGCTTTAATGTGGAGTGGATCTAGGCCTCGAATCCAGGTATTACAACATATTCTGTGTTGTTTGACTGGTTTTAGAAGATGTGCCAATCTCATGTTGGTGAGTTTGAGTATTTTCTGTGATAGAAAAATACATAATAATTGAACATCTACTTTATGGTCCGTTCCAACTAAAAATGCTCAAAGTCATAAGCATTGAATAACTACTAAGTAATTCTGGAAGATGGGAAAGGAAGCAAAATCAATGGATGGTTTACAGTCTCAGCAAAGAGTGAGCCCTGATTTGATGGACAGTTCATGCATGGCAGCAACTTGAGGGAAAGGATAGAGGCAGACCACTGTGTATCCATGAACAGAGAGAGATTTTTCTGTGTTCTGCAGAGCAGAGAAGAACAGACAATACAGTAGAAATTACCAAATGATATCAGATTGCAGAGGATTTCTGAAATAACTTTTATTTTTGTGACATTATATATGGGAACACGGTAAATATTTAAATGGTCAGGTAAGCCAATGGCAATCCATGAAATTCAGTTTGATATAGATTCCAAGGGAGTTGTGAGCATAGATATTATGGAAACCAGTGAGGAGATCTCAGAGGTATGAATGGGACAAGCAGGAGACACAGCAAAATAAAACCAAAGTTCTAAGAGGTCTATGTATGTACAGAAAGGGCGGGGGGGGGGCAAGGAGCTGAAAATGTCCACGATTTTTCCAAGAAAATAGAAGCAGTAATCCTGGTATACACTGGGAAACTAGGGCTGGAGGGGAGCTGGACTTTGGTGTAAGTCATTAGAAAACTGGTCTCTTCCAGAGGCATGAGAAAGGCCTGGTGTGCAGAGGGCACTGAGGCCAAGGCCAAACAAGAGCACATGGAGAGGACAGAGCTTCAGATCCTGTATGTGACACAAGAAGAAAACATCAGAAGGCGGGAAACAATGCCCTGTGCAGAGTAGAAGAACAGAGAGAGAGGAAGCAATCAGGGCGGGAAGGAGAGAGAAGAGGGTGTGTAGGCTGTAGATGGAAAGAGAAAAGAGGAACATAGTTTCACTAAGCATTGAAGGGAAATAGAGGTAAGGGTCACTACACACATGTATGCAAATGCATGGGTACAGTACATGGATGGGCATCTGTGTGTCCAGGAGTAATAAAAGCCAGTGTCCACTAGGAACACACATTATATAGGTATGATGTCCATTCCCAATTTTCAACTTAATGAGATCTGGATTCACCCAGGGGATAAACTCTGGGCATATTTGTGGGTGATTCCCTTCATTGGGATAATTGAGGAGGGAAGATCCATTTGCCGTGGGTAGGACCAGTGCCTGGGATGGGATACTGGGCTGTCCAGAAAGGAGAAAGTGAGCTGAGTACAGGCGTCGATCACTCTCTCCTTCTTTACTGTGAATATAATGTGATCAGCCGCCCAAAGCCTTTTAGACAGTGGCTTCTCCTCCATCTCCATTGACCTGTGAGCCAAAGGAAATTTTATTCCCTCTTAAATTGCTTTCATCAGAGTATTCTATCACAGCAAAGGAAACTAAGGTACCAGTATTTTTCTCTGAACTTTACAAGTCATTGCTGCCCTGTTAAGCAAATCCACGACTCTGTTAAAAGGTATCAAGGATTTATTAAGATATCAAATTGGGAGAAATACACTCACAGATACAGAACAAAGTAAACAGCCACCATCATCCTCCATTCTGCTGCAGGGGTGAATGGAACCAGTCTTCTTGTCTCTGACCACCTCAAGAGAGAGAGAGCGCCCCCCTCCACAATTTTAAGCAGTCACATACCCAGAAAAAAATCATGCCTCTATCAGGCCAGATACCCCAAGGTCATTGGCAGAGCAAATTCCCATAACCCCATCCCACATTTTTTTATTCCTTGTTAGCTCTACTCTTCAGAACCTATATCCTGAGAAATAACATATTTCTTTTAATACTATTTACTTATATAAGCAATATAGTGAATGAAAGAAATACATCCTAAAATACTTTGCATTTCTGAGAAGCTTCCATAGCTCCAGATTCCTGCTCACATTAGACTGTGGCACCTATTGGGCAGCATCTTTAGGTTCTCTCTTTCCCAGGCTCCCACAAGAAGGCATAAACCCAATAAATGGCAATGTGTTGTGCTTCTCTTTTCTAACTCATTTCCAAACTCCCACCAAATGAGTATAGACACAACATCTGCCTCCTTTGAGAGAGTATGAAGTTTCTTGGAATATGGATACTCAGTGTCTTCACCACACAGCCTGTGCAACGTGTTTGGTGCTGTGCATATCCTAGGCATTTTGGAAACTAATCCAAGTTCATTTCACATGATAGGTATAAAATGAATACCCAAAAGATTGCAAATGTTTTAGAAGATAATTATAAAATTAAAAATAAATGGAGTGCCTGTGAGATTTCCCAGTGGGAAAGACAACTGCTGGCAAACGTGACAACTGGTAACACATTCCTACAAGGTGTTCTCTGTCTTCCTTTCCCATACATGCCAGGCCCTGTGCGCCAGTGCACCTGCGTGCAAACACACACACACACACACACACACACACACACACACACACACACACACACACATACACACTGAATCTATCAGTCAGCCTATAGAAAGAAAATGTAGAGAAGTTGAAAAAAATGTTATATGGAAAGCATGATAAACATAATTATAGAAATAAGAAAGGAGGGAAGGAGGGAGGGAGGGAGGAAAGAGGTAAGGAGGGAGGAAAAGGAGGAGAGAAGGAGAAAAGGGGATTGAGGAAAGAGGAAGAACAGGAAGAAGGGAGGGAGGAAGAAAGGAAAATAAAGAGGGAGAGAAGGAGTTACTTGGAGAGGGTGGATAAAACATTTTGGGGCCGTGGAGTCCTAGAAACTAAAACTGAAAATGAACTAAAACATGGTCCCTTGTTTTACTCCTGAATGGGGTGTTTTTCTTCCATGAAAACCAATTCTAGTAAATTGTGCAGGGAAACAAGACCTGTACTTGGAGGGGTTCTGTCTCTATTCCCCAGGAACTCATCTGTGAATAAAGCGCCTTTAAGAACAAGCAGTTATGAAAATGTTTATCCCCAGGATAATTATTAGCCAACACCAGAAGTATTCTGTATGTGCCCACGTGCAGCAAAATGGGAGTGGAGGCAGAGCTCCACCCCACCGATTTGAATGTTGCCTAGCTAATGTTTTCTCTCTCACTTGTTCACAGAACCTAAAGTAAGCTGCAAGCTAGGCCGGTCTGCATCCACATCAGGAGTTCCTCCTCCTTCAGTTGCTCCTCTCAGACAAGCCAGTGACCTACCCCAGAGCCAGGTACCATCATCGTTAGCCAATCGTGATTGACTTCCTGTGATGCACCATACCAAATGCTTCCCACCTGTCTGTCCTGTGTTGCTGTAGACAACGTTTGCATTTGCTTTGATTTCTCTCTGTGTGTATGGGGAGGGGAAGGGTTCAGCATCTGTGTTTTCATCCCCAAGAGAATGTCTTTCTTCTTTTGTGATTGGTGAAACTTTCTTTGCTGTTTGTTACTGAATCGTTTTGTCTCTGATTTCCATCATTCTGAATTATAAATGTAGTAAATGTGCACTATATGTATGGGCATAGTGGCTACTTTAAAAAAAAATTCGTTCTCTTTTCCATGTTCTGTGTACTTTTATACTGTCTTTGAAAATTTATCAACATTTGATAAATTTATCTACTTCTTGTGTAAATTTCTTTTTAAATGTTTTGTCCATAATATTTGCACAGATGTTGTTAATGAATCTGTACATATATTTTAACTCGTATCCTACTATACTGTAACATTTGTGGTAATTTACTCAGATTTTTATTTAGCTTCAAGCATGATTGTAAGACAATGTCAATATTGATGTTCTTATAAATATTCATATAACTATTGACTCCTTTGGATTGAATGTGGCAACTAGTCTTTCTTCATTCTTAGCCCATAGAGACAAATTAGCCAACCAAATAACTTAAATATTTACCAACAGCTGTAGAGTAATAGGACAACCTTTCAAATAAATGGCATTTCTATCTTAAACCAACCATATTAGAAATGTTCTCAGAAAAGGGAATGTAAGTGTCTTTGCATGGCAAATGAGATCTTCATTATCACTTGGAGAAAAGAGATAAGAAATAAAGGCATAAGCTAAAATACCATTTATTCCTTTATAGTATAATATGTCGTTCTGATGTTCATTTGGGTGAATGGCTGTGAATGAGAGTTTAGGACAAGGACAATCACTACATATAAATATTGTTTTGTAACTCAACCAATAGGAAACCAATACCTTAACTGGTGACTTTGGTTATTTTTGCTGTGAGGTATTATGGGTATTAAGCAGGACAACACCATGTTGGAGTAGTGGTTCTGCTGCCTAGCTCTTGTATTTGCATTCATGGTACTCTGGCGAAACAAGACATTATAAAACTAAGAAGATCTTCTAGAAAACTGTCCAGCACTGATCATCAGATTGCTCATCCATCAAATATGTTAAATGTCAGTATCTTTTAAAATCATTTTGTGCTTCTTAGTATTTTTGTCTGACTAAACTATGCACAGCAGTTAATTTATGAATATATGAATATCTACAAACACTTGTCTCTCTCAGGTGCATCTCAAGTATCATTTCGGATCTCTTGTGTCTTAATTTAAACCACTAAAGGCCTTTGTAATTAAATGTATCCATTTTAACTACTCTAAGGGTTGTAGGATATGTGGGAAGGGGACACTTGCCTCTGAGTCACAGTGACAGAAAGGACCACTTCTCTACTGTCTTTTAAACATTGAAAAACAATTCAAGACTGTGATACGCAGATTAGTCTCTTTTAACACAGGAAACTCTCTGTAGCCCAATTGTCTGGTTATGTGTGGTGTATGGTTATTTGTCTGATTGTGTGCTTATGGAACCAGAAGAATGACCAAAAGAGAGTAGGTATTTCAGCAGCCAAAGCTGACCTCCTACTGGACCCCAAGCGTCCACACAGTAGGAATTCCTCTGGGCCATGAAGGAGATTTGGCCTATAGTATCTGTCATTCATGTTAGTATACCTTGAAGTTAGCCCAGCATGTATTTCTAAATACAGAAAAGCCCAGATAGGGGACATGGAAAAGAGTCACAAAGATCATTACACATTATGATGAAGTTGCATTAGCATAATGCAAGTAGGAAAATCCCCATTATCTTATATGTGCTCTTAATAGTTCTGTCTGATTGATTTAGAAAAATGTGAGGCTTTAGTTTTCTGCAGAGCTCTCTATTCTGTTTAATTAATGTCAGAGTTAAATAAAGGAAAGATTACCTTTAAATGGCAGCTGGATCTTGAAATGTTGGAATTATTTAATTTATTAAATATTATTTAATTAACATTCCTGCAAGGAACTCAAATGGCAGGGATTCTGATTATATTTTGTAAATGGCTGTGTTGTAGGATATTTACAATTTAAATATTGCATGGTCATTACATTTGACTGCTTTAAGTAAAAGATATTTAAAGGCCACTTTTTGAGTCCAGCACTCTCTTATAACCCATATCTCAGGAAATCCATTACTGAGACGAATAAAACAACAAACTCATGCCGGTCCCCAAGAGTCTGCCATCTATCCCTTCCTGGTATGCAACGGGGTAATGTGATTTAGAACCTCACCTAAGAAGACTTAAACTCTTTGGGTGGCAGTTAGGTCAAAGGACTCTGGAGTGTCTGCTAGCTGGCCCTGTGGTCCTCCATGTCTGGATGTGTCCTTTATACCTTTCTTGTCAGAAGTCAAAGCTGTCAATAGAAGTAACCAGGAAAAAAATATAAAGCACTGGAGAATATTTTTTTTTTTTACTGTGTGAAAGGCACGGAGATTACAGGAAGATCTGAGGTGAAGTTTGCAGAGTGACAACCCCCGTGCCATTCACTGTCATATCTGCTTCTGGTGTACAGGACTCACGCAGACATGTGCAAAGCATTCCTGTATTGTGCAACATCAGATGGGTTACTCTTACTATCTCACATGGCAACCGAGAGTGCTAGGATGAGGTGGCTACCACAGCCTTTCCAGAGGTTTTTCTTTGCATGTTTCCTTTTGTTTGCTTATGGGATCCTAGAGCCTATGCTAGACCCGAAACACTCAAATATGTCACACATTTTTTTCTGAGCCTGTTTTCTTATCTGTAAAGTATTGGAAGTATTAGTTGATTAGTAGTTATTGTTGAGAATCAATGTGATTTCATATATATGTATATGTATACATATATGCATATACACACATATACATATATATATATAAATGAAAAAGCCTAGGTAGATAATAACTGCTAGAAAAATATTAATTCTTTCTCTTCTTCCCTTATATAATTTAACTCTCTCAATAATCTAATTTTCCTACTTGCTGGAAAATTCTAAGGGGAGTACTTGTAACCAGTGGTATTACAAAGAAGGTGGATGCTGATGGATTGCTTGCTTTGCTCCAGTATTACCAGCCACAGTAAAAGAACAGTGAGAAATTCAACACTCAGAATTTACTAGACAGGAGTGACTTTGTCTTGTCCTGTACTTAGATGTGGTTTGGTTGCAAAGTATGTGAAAATTAACCATAGGTTTAATTTAAGTTCTCCTGTCATATAATATTATTTATTGTCCTATTTGAATTAAATGATAACCGAATGCAATGGAAATACTACAGCTATCTAGGTACTATTGTCCCTTGTGGTTAGGACAAATGATGCAGAAACATGGAGCACATTTTTGCTAAGGTCAGAATTGGCCTTAAGATTTACCCCTCCACTGTTTCAAATACCTTGTTCCTATTAAAAACTATCATGCACATTGTAGAATACACATATAAAAACTGAAATGAATACAGATTCAACAGGCCTGCTCATATGGCTTAGAGCAAGTCAACAAATTAGTGGATACAAGGCTCCCCCTAGCAACTGAAAGGCATACTACAACCTGCACTTCAAAGGTGGTTTATATTAGAGACTTACTGTCTTGTTTTTAAATACACCTTTTGGGAGGGGGGAAATAAGGAGTCACATCCAATGCCCCAGAGTGCTGTGCATCTTTATGAGTAGATGAAGCTTATTTCATGGGGATTTATGATATCTTCCATTCATTCTTTATCCAAACTGAGTCTCAAGCAAAAAGGTTACTCTTCTTCCACAGATGGAAACCAAATCCGGGGCGGGGTGGGGGGGGCAACTTAATTCAACAAATGGAAGAATATCTTCTTGAATTTCTTTCTGCCACCAATGTCTTTGAAATGAGTAGCCTATGAGTCCTTCCTAAAAAGAAGTTCTTTCTATCCGGTGGGTAAGTTTACCTCCAACTTAGATGGCCAGGGGAGTATTAGGAAATGTTTGTACATTAATACCAGCTCTCAGCCCCACTGCACTTATTTTACTGGCTTTCAGTTTTCCTAATTCTGTGACCCTTTCATTCAGTTCCTCATGTTGTGATGACTCCAACTGTAAAATTACTTCATTGCTACTTCATAACTGGAATTTTGCTACTGTTATGAATTGTAATGTAAATATTTGGTAAGTGACTCCATACCAAAGGGGCTGTGACCCACAGGTTGAGAACCACTAATTTATTTGAATAATAAATACAGTCACACAGTGCATGCCTCTCTGTAGAGACACTAGAGATCTTTAGTTGTCTCCCTCTATTTTGTGCTGCATATGAGTATTACCCCTCAGGTTGAAGCGCCACTCTGACTGAAGGAGGTATCTCAAACAACATTTATGTTCTTCCTGCAACTGCCACCGTTCTCAGACTTCTGTATAGCATGTCCATATGCTAAAATATCAGTACTTTGTACTCTTGTGCCCACTAAGCAGACATAGTGTTTCTATTAGTGGGAAAGCTGAAGCTAGAGCATTGCTGTCAGTTCAACTTCTGAGACTAGTTACATGCTGCCAAGGTGTAAGCCCAGGCCATTCCATTAAAGCCAGGCCCTACCCACAGCTGCCTTCTTTCTACTCCCTTTCTCGGGTGTTCTTCACGTTCTCGTTTGCTCACCTGTTTATTACAAATGCAGATGTTCTTAGTCTTGCCATTAGTGTTCATCACTATTATGTGAAGACTGCTTAGGAGAGATTGAATTTCACCAAGACCTCAACCAAGTAGGGTCCTGCCTATGGCTTAGAATCCCCAAGAGTGAAATGAGGTTGTCAATGTGACTCTGTCTTTGGGAAATGACTCTCAGTTACCCTTGGTTTCCCACTCTTGTGTTCTCCACTGGAAGAATTCAGAAGAGACACAAAGGACAGAGTGTAAAGGATAGAATTTGTTGTAGAAGGAAGGGATAAAAGTG